GTGAACTTGTCAAGTCCGAAACACACAAAAGGGTATCGCTGATATCATACAGAGTGTATCATTGCCTTGATCAGGCCCATAGGAAGCAAATTCAGTTTTTTTTTGGGGGGGGGGGGCACAGCCATACATTTTCAGTTGACAGTTGAGGGGGCACTACTACCATAAATTTCCTGACAAGCAAAAAAAAAAAGGTCACCAACTACCAAAAATTCCTTGAAAAGCAAAAAAGAAGGTTATCAGACGTTTTTATTGAGGTGGCACAAGCTATAGTATCTATGTCTACTATTGTAATCTATATATCGGCAAAATTATTGGGGGGCACGCCCCCCTCGGTTCCTACGGCCATGTTGATTAAATTTAGGGTCACTAAGGAAAGAATGTTTTGACTGGATGAATGGTCTGAAAGAACATGTGTTAACTTGTCGAGTCGGTTACACATAGATGGGGTTTTCTTATAACCAGAGTGTGTCATGGTTTGATGCAAGGTCATTTGAACGAGTTCAAGGTCATCAACGGAGAAACAACATTCCTTAACTGTCTTTCTACTGGTGAGACATTGCAAGTTGATACCCCTTACAAGATTGCTTATAACCTTAGAATGTGGCATGACCTTGACTCAAGGTCACTTCTTCCTGTTCGCAGCTCCAACGGAAGACCTACTCGTTGCTTTGCAACGAGCTCTGCTCTAGTTTGTCATTCTCTTTTTGTAAAGCATATGTACTGGTACATGTACATGTACAAGATATATATGGAAGGAATGCTATTCTGCAAATATGTATATATGTAAATGATAAAAAAATCAACTCATGAAAATAGATTCGTAACACCCACCCACCCACCCACCCCAAAAAAGAGTACGTATGTACGTGTTATATTGGATTTTTAGCCGTAATTTGAAACATCTTTACCATAAAATAGTTTATACATTTTTATAATAAATTTGATTTTATGCACAAGATGAATGTGAAAGCAATTAATGACGCATAATTTGATACGATAGACAGTCCCCTGTTCACACGTGGCATTATTTAGTGTGTGAAATGTGTTTCCGTATAATTTGAGTTATTTACAAAATGTTCATGTTTGTCGTATTGAAGTGGAAATATTATTAATTCCCGACTTTGGATATTTTACAGTTTTGTTGTGTTGGGTATGACTTTGAAGAAGTTGCAAATACTTTTAACATTATGAAAAATATAAAGCAGAACGAACGCCTGTTTGGGTAAAGATCATGAAATGCACGAAGCTCCACGGGTATTTTTGTCATATGCGCATTAAATAAGATTTCCAGATCGTTACTTGGCTAGTGATACCTTAAGATAACATTCATCTCTAGGTGAAAATTGACTCGGTAAAATGCGCCATCCCATTGTTTAAGTTTTATAAAGTAATTACACCGCCTATACCCGATTTCGCGGATACAACGATACCCCGATTTCAGGGACTATACGCGATTTCACGGATAATACCCGATTTCGAGTATTCTCTCCAACCTGTTCATATGAAGTAGAATTTGTCCAAAATCTTATACGTGAAAAGAAAAAAAACACTTGCTGTGGCCTTCAACTCGACATTTAGATATATCGACGACGTACTGTCAATTAACAATGGTTATTTTCAATCTTATGTCGTTACGATATACCGGTGAACTTAAAATAAAAGATACCATACAGTCTGACAAATCTGTTTCATATTTAGATAATTTACTAGAAAAAAAGTTAATGGTAATCTAACAACCAAGCTCTATGATAAACGTGATGAGTTTAACTTTTCAATCGTCGGCTTCCCTTACTTATGCAGCAATATACGTTCATCACCTGCATACGGGGTTTATATATCTCTCAGTTGATTCGATACGCAAGAGCATGCTCTAGGTATGAAGAGTTTCTTAACGAGGCAATTTATTGACAAACAAGTTGATGAATCAAGAATATCAACAGTCTCGTTTAAAGTAATCATTTCGTAAGTTCTATGGTCGATACAATGACCATGTCAGCAAATACAATTTATCATTGAGTCAAATGCCGACTGACGTTTTTCATACTAATTGTTAGGCTATTATTTACACATTGAATTGTCGACGGATTTTTCCGTTATTTTCCGATCACGACAAGGAGCACACAGCGGGTGTGACCGGTCGGCAGGGGATGCTCACTCCTCCATGGCACCTGTTCCCACCTCTGATGTTTTAGAGGTCGTCCGTGTTTGCTCTGCTCCAAAATTTGTATTCTTTAATGGACTTTTGAGTTTAAATACTGTTCGTCATTTCCATACATTTCATACCTAATATTTTAATGTCGTGATAATAAAGTATTGCTCTTTCTATACACTGTATCAAATTTTCGTCATATCATGGTAACACATTAAGTCAATTCATTTCTGAAAAAGTAAGCATCACTTCATACCACATAAATCTTCCATCTTTTGCTATTGTTGCCATTGATAAAAATGAATGTTTGGAATTAAAACCAAAAATTAGAGCAGAGGGTCATTACAATTGTCAAATATAGAGCAGGAGAACCCCCTTTCCCATCTCCATATTTCGATAATATGGTCATAAACATTAAAGCAGAAAACAAAAAAAAAATGATTGTCGAACTATTGACGACGGAAGAGTTAAAAAAAATTAAATATTCTTTTACTAAGCATAAATGGAACATACTTAAGACATATAGTTTTCAACTGGATTGAAAATATATTCTGTAAAATCACTTACTAGTATTTTCTTGGTGTCATATTACCGTAGTTTGGGAAAAATTGCTGGTTCTCGATAGTTTGATTTTGTGGTTAAAGGGGAAAACATCATACTGCTGTATGGAATTGTAACATTTCGTGGGGAATATGAATTCTTGGGCCTCTTGATGTCACAAAAATATTGATAACCTAAACCCTATGAACAGGAGTGATTTCATAGAAATAATCATTATTTGAGATCTTGCTTCATCAATATTGCAAAATAGTGCAATGTGTATTTGAATGCATATCAAGAAAGGTTTTGACATCAACTACATTTACATGTACATTGAAAATCTTGCATTTATACATGCATGATCATTGTAATAGATACATGCGCTGTTCATACAGTAATTACAATGTACAAAATATAATTTTTGCCACAGTACTTAACTTTTTATAAGTTTTTCTTCAAAGTAAAGACTTCTATTATTTTTCAAAACATAGAAATGAAATAACTTTTTTGACGAAGAAATGTATTTCAATGACGCTTCTCAAGTTAAAGTTGACAGAACGATCAGGGTAATACAGCACCTTTGTAATGCGAAGGTATCATATAATAGTTGAGAAAGAGTTTCGAAGTCTGAGTCAAAGCGCACATGGCAACACCACTCTCAAAGGCCAGTAAACGACCCAAAAGGACTCTCGTTCTACTTTGTATTTTGTATAATATAGTGAATGTATTTGCAAACTTCTTCAAGTTAAACCCCCACATTACAGAACTGTACAATATCCAAGGTCTGGAGTTAAATATTAAACATTCTGATAGTATTGCATAAGAAATACTAGTCCCCTACCGGCAATTAAATGCAATCATGCAGATTCCCCTTAAAAATTAAAAATACCGGAATTCCGCCCAAAACCATTGAAGCGGAACAAGATGTAAACTTAAAGCTGAACATGATTCGTAAAAGCAATGTGTCCGCCATTTTTGTTCGGATTCTCGCTATATCTGAGGACCCCTATATAAAGGGCCTGACTTGGACACTGTTCAGTATAATCAGTCGACACCGGTGCAGACGGACGTATGCTATACAGCACTCGGTAGCGACAAAAATAACTGCAATACCTCGTCTAAGGCAGGAAAGTAAGATACAAAAGAAACTTACAATTATAGTTGTACAGGTCAGTGCAGTATACAAACAAACACAGATACACGTAACTACAATAAAATGTAAACAAAGGTAATGCAAGATAACCAGCACGAACACGGGTCGCCATTCTACGCCGATACCCGTGACAATAAAGCAGTCAGGTGTAACGAATGCGAGGAGTATACCCTGGTGTTGATGTATCGTAGATATAATATCGAAAATGGCGTATGCCTATTTACGAGTCGTGTTCAGCTTTAATCTAGAACTCATGAATATGGAAATTCAGCTCAATATCTGCATAAATTGCAAAATATCACAGGATGAAACTGCACCTTTCCGTCAACTGAATGGTCACTGAAAGGTCTGGAAAGCTCACTGACTGTCAGCGCTCTGCCATTCAGTCACCTTTCAGTTAACTGAATGGCATAGTTTCATCCTGTGTATATTGTAATGGAAGTGTATAGGAAAAAGTTCGGAAAACTAAGTGGGAAATCTGGTTCCCATATTTTTTTTTTATGTTTTCCAGTAAAGAATCATTGAAGCGTAACGAAATACAAACTTTATCTATTTCTCATCAAGATACACTCATATACGAGAAAATCAGCTCAATATCTGCAGGCCTTTAGAAAGGAAGTGCCAAAAACCAAGTGAGACAGACTAACAGGCAGGGTAACAACTAGATAGACGAACAGTCGAGGGGGAAACCGGTTTCACCGGTAGATACTTATTACATATTACTGCAAGCCATTTGTAAATGGGGTCCTAATTCTAGTAATATGCGGAGATACATTCACACAAAATAATGTTACCATACATGTCAACAAGAAGCGACGCGAAAGAGTTGTTTTTCTTATCTAATGAAAAAGGTAAAGATAACGAACAGTGATCGATCTCAAAAAATCTACAAACAATTACACAAATCTGTGAACAGGGCATAAAACAAAGACCCCCGAAAATTCCAGAGGTGGGATTAGGTGCCTAGGAGAATTAAGCATCTTTGTTGAGCGGTCACATCCATGTAACTTGAGCACTAGGTATTGTTCAGATAGACGGAACATTCAGTAGTCAAATTTAGCATAACAAAGGCCTAACAAGTGGTATGAAATACGACTTACCTTAAGAGAGAATTTCTCCGTTATTTCATGAAACAATACCAGTACATGATATATTTACCTTTAACAAATGATAATCCTTTATATATACAGAATATTGCTGAATAATAAACTATTTTTAACAACAAAGTCGCCATTGCTTTAAAAATTTCTTCCTGTTTCATGTGTATATACAGGTATATCTAAACAAAATGAGAACTAGGTCATGCCTAGAGTCATACCTAAGTGTAGTTTAGATACATCTTGAGAAGCTATAAAAAATGCAAATGGGTGAGTTGGTGTTACTCTAGTGAAGAACTTTTTAACGGAACGAAGACGGCCGGGATAGCTTATAAGCTAAATTCATGTATAGCTTAATAAAATCGTAAAGGTTTACTGCCATTTAAAACATAATTTTGTAAAAAAAAAAAAAAAAAAAAAAAAAAAAAAAAAAAATCGATTGTACAGTGTCACTTGTACTCTGATCCGGGAAAGAAAGGAAAAGGCTATTGTAGTAAATATGGATAGGGGTGCCGCTTGTCCGAAATATCTGACGTTTTCCATGCGTTTTTTACGATTTTGATATTTTACGTGCCAGGAAAACGTCAGAACCGGCACCATTATGAAAAGTGGGAATTCGCCGCCTCCAGCTAGCGGCATTCTCGGGTCGATTTTCGATACATGCAAACCGAATTAAATGTCCAACTCACATCTTATCATCAGTACAATGCTTCTAGTACTTACCAGTATCGCTTTTATTGTCCTTTGTATTTTAAAGTGTCTGGTTAAAAAAATTATCAAACTGTCGAGGTTTATTTTGATTTCGTGCATTTCGAAATCTCGTGAGACCTGTATTGGAATGTGGAGTGATATTTTCTTTTAAGCGATATTGGTGAGAATTAAAAGCATTCTGATAAGTTATGAGTTTGACATTTAATTTGATTTACAAATATCGAAAATCGAGTTCAGTTGGGGACGGCGAAATAATGGCGCCGGTTCTGATGTTTAATGTATCAAAGTCGTGAAAAACGTCTGGAAAACGTCAGATATTTCGGACAAGAGTACCGCCAACTTCAAAAATTACGACCATTACCTTTCATTTACCAACTGATGCATGCGGTGGGTCCATTTACCGAAATTGAATAATTTTGCATGCAATTAATCTTCTATACCTTTACCTTGATGGAATACCATTTTTACCAAAAATAAAGATGTTCATATTGAATTATTAGCAAGGTGCACCAGCTGTTTACATCTAATTTCTATTCACTTTAAACATTGTCCCATTGAAAACCCCTTCTTAAACTTTTTTTTTAAAAACACATTTACATTTCTGTAAACTCCAATAATGATGTTAGCAACAGTAGTAGGGGTGGTGAAATTGCAGATACTTTTTATTTTTTTAAAACTTACTTGGATTCCTACGGAAGCCTGTTGAGGCCAGTTCAGAGAAAGAAATATTTTTTATTGCGTTTAAACGCAATAATTATTGCGTCTAAACGCAAAACATTGCGTTTAATCGCAATAAACATTGCGTTTAAACGCAAAAGATTGCGAGTAATCGCAATGTATTTTGCGTTTAAATGCAAAACACTTTGCGTTTAAACGCAAAAGATTGCGATTAAACGCAATCTTTTGCGGTTAAACGCAATACTTTTGCGATTAAACGCAATACTTTTGCGTTGAAACGCAATAATATTTTTGCGATTAAACGCAATATTTTTTGCGTTTAAACGCAAAAATATTTGCGTTTAAACGCAGTAATTTTTTGCGATTAAACGCAATACTTTTGCGATTAAACGCAATAGTATTGCGATTAAACGCAATAATCTTTGCGTTGAAACGCAATAATCCTTCCTTATAAGGATTTGTTTTGCATTTAAACAATGATACTGTGGTTTCAAAATCAAACGTGAATTAGTCAAAGCTTATGATTACATGTACATGTACTAAGATCCGACACTTCAATCCGAATTGTTCTGTGTCTTTTTGCAAAATTTTCCAGTTTTTGAAAATTGTATTAAAACAATGGCATCCTAACAACCTGAAAGTCTTAAATATATTAGAACCCCAAACCCTTAATGAAGTCTCTGATCAATTGCTACGTATATCATAACTTATAGAGAATGTTTCAGTGGTATTAATAGCACTTGTCAATTTGATACATGTAGTACACATCGATCAATTTGTTTTTATTTTATTTTGATTTTGATCTCATATAAATCCATCACATATATTCTTGTGTTTACTGTATGCAACCATAGGAAGGGTTATGAATGTTCACGTACATTTAAGTCTAAGTACTTCATCATGTTGTACGTAATTCCAACATTTCCTTTGTCATTTCCAAAAATCTTGTGACCGCAACGTGGGGGACAGTTTTTTAAACAGAGCAACTGACCGAAACTTCATTAAGAATGTAGAGAATAATGAGCTTAAGACATGTCTCCTTCTTAGGCTGCCTTTGTTTTTACAACCCGACATTTTTTTCTCCTCTATAATTCTAATTAATGATTTATCCTTTCAGAGAGCGTTTGCTCGGAGAAATCTGATTCTGTAAAACTAGACAATTCACAATTTCCTAATAAGTAAAAAAAGAAAGATATAAGTATGCGTGGGTCCATTGTCTTCTGCAAGGTTTGATACAAATAACTGCCTTAAAACACAAAGATTATGCCTTTGAATGCAAAGATTATTGCGTTTAAACGCAATAGTTTTGCGTTTAAACGCAAAACTTATTGCGTTTAAACACAAAAATTATAGCGTTTAATCGCAAAATTATTGCGTTTAAACGCAAAAGTTTTGCGTTTAATCGCAATATTACTGCGTTTAAACGCAAAAACTATTGCGTTTAATTGCAAAAACATTGCGTTTAATCGCAAAAATATTATTGCGTTTAAACGCAAAAACTATTGCGTTTAATCGCAAAGTTATTGCGTTTAAACGCAAAGTATTGCGTTTAATCGCAATCTTTTGCGATTAAACGCGAAGTGTTTTGCATTTAAACGCAATAAACATTGCGATTAAACGCAATGTTTTGCGTTTAAACGCAATGATTATTGCGATTAAACGTAATGTTTTGCGTTTAAACGCAATAAAAAATATTTCTTTCTCTGAACTGGCCTCAACGGGCTTCCGTAGGATTCCTCGTTGAGTGCTTTTAAAATCGATATTCTGGAAGGACAGGAATTACGAGAAATTGAGCTTCAAAAAAGAACTTAAAAAGGACATTGCTTCGTCCTTGAAATCGCAAGGTAATAAAACTCAATTTGAATTTAATGAAGAAATTATTACCGCTGTAATGATTAAGGGGCATGTGTGTAAAACGCAATGAAGACCTTAAATTGTGGAATGTCCTAACAACCCTTGGTATGGACTAGTCAAATGGCATATAAAGGGAAACTGGTGGAAATCAGGAATTCAGAAGCCACCAGAAGAAGTTCATAGTGGAAGTTAAGGGTAAGAGCAGAATAAAAGTATGAGATATAAGCACCAGTGGCAAGTAATACTAGGGAATTGATGTTAAGTTCTGGGTTTAGTTAATCTGAAGAAGATTGAGACACCCGGATCTTCTCTTTCAATAGGAACCTAAGGGAGAAACATATGGCGTTCCGTTGGGGCCACTCGCACCTTCGCACTCTCGCCTTTAGGGCGAAGATGCGAGAGTGCGAAGTTGCAAAGGCGAAAGTGCGAATGCGAAGGAGCGAAAGTGCGAGGATTCGACGGCGAAGCGCGAAGGTGCGAGGGCGAAAGTGCGAAGGCGAAGGAGCGCTCCTTCGCCTTCGCATTTTCGCCCTCGCACCTTCGCACTTTCGCCTTCGCCTTTTTTTGTAGACTTCTCTATCGTTTGAAGATAATTTTATCTATAAAAATGGCGTCTTCAGAAGAAGATGAACTGTTTAGTCTGTTGCGAATATATTTGCAGCAAGGATTTTCGCATAATGAAATTTGAATGTTATTGTATTTAAACCACGGTATTGAATTAAGGTATGCTATTTAAGACAAGAGGCCCAAGGGCCTTAACGGTCACCTGAGTACAATACAACAATTTAGAGGATCCATAAACTGATAAAAGAAGCTTTGTTGCCTAAAAGCAAGAAAAATAGCATGATTTGCATCAACAAAATAATTGGTCTAGTATCTATCTGTCCCCCATTTATCACTATTACCATTCAGACCATTAACAAACTGTCTATTTTTTAACCCCATATTATTACTTCTCACATTGGCCTCTCTTGGCCTTTGAAGAACAATTAAAAAGGATAAGTTATTTTTGTCTCAGTTTTATTCATCTATTATTTCCAAGTCTACCTGATCATTAAAACTATGAAAGTACTTTTTGTATTATACAATAAATATTCTTGCATAATTCTCTTATTCTATTAAGCATTCGAATACATTATTTACAGTGATTTATTATCAAAGGTGAATGGCAAAGGGGAATAACTTTGCTCAGCAGAATACAAGTTAATAGAGCACTGGCCAGGACCAGAACCACTTGATTAAATGGTCCAGGTGTTCAAAATTCTGGTTAAAATACCCTTGCATATTAAAGCTTTTCTCCGTTTACCTCGAATATGCTAAGAAGCATAGAAAATTTTCAAAGAAATGCATTTTCACTATATAATTAAATAAATAAAGCCCTATCCTTACACAAGAACATCCGACCCATTGGCCATAAGCTCACAATTCTGGAATAAGCACCCTTGCTCATCATAACCATACACTTGTTTCTTTGCTTTATAACCAGTAGTAGAAAAAATATTTCGAAAGAAATTATGCATTTTCACTATATAATCAATAGAGCCCCCCCCCCCCCTTTCACCAGAACCCTTGACCCTGGGGCCATGAATTTCACAATTTTGGAAGAGGCATTCTTCCTTATCATAACCATGCACTTCCTTTGTTTGAAAAATATCCAGGAGAAGAGAAGAAGATTTTCAATGAATTAATGCATTTTCACTATATAATCAATAGAGCCCCACCCTAACACCAGAACCCCTGACCCTGGGGCCATGAAATTCACAATTTTGGAAGTGGCACTTTTGCTCATCATAACTATGTACTTAGTTGGTTTATTTATTACCCAGGAGCAGAGAAGAAGATTTTCAAAG